ATTGTTTTACTTTGTATTTCTCATGTGTTCATCGGTTAAAGTATTTTAAGAACTAGTGTACTAAATGTTTTTCTCTCACCTCTAGTAAAGCCAAATAATTATCACACATGCCCATAAAACACAAAATTATGGAAATAATAATTATTTCTTAGTTATTCCCAACGTCACATGAAATAAAGACAGTATTTTTTTTCCCTTCTTCTTCTTCTTCAAAGTTTAGCTCAAGCTAATTGTCAAATGGATAGCTAGGGCCGAAAGAATGCACTTTCTTTGAACCTCACATAAACAGAAAAAAAAAGACACAATTATCTCTGGGCAAACAACTTAAAGGAACTTCCCTTTTTAACACATCTGTGTAGCAAGATGATCAGTTGAGAACATGGCAGAATAATGTTTTGATAAATGATCTTGCTTTTCTGTTTACGGATTCAACAAGAAACAGAAGGAAAGTTATCACCCTCTCTGCAATTACTGTAAGCCAGGATTTTAAGCCCCTGAGATTGGTGTTTTCTTATCTCCATATACTTCTTCTGAGGGTGTGGGGGAAAGTTTCTCAGTAGGTTGGGCATCTAGAAGACAATGTTCTGGTTCTGAAAGTCCAGACACACCTGGAGCAGTGTGTTTCAACCATTAGCTCAAAACCATTAGTAGATTATGAAATCTATTTATTATACTATGGCCATGTTTAGAACATAAAATAGAAAGGAATAAAACAGAACAAAATAGAAACTACCAGAGTGTTTCATGTATTGTAAGAGTCTTATTTTGTGAAATCTGGGCTTGCAGTGGCGTGTGTATGCCTGTGTGTGCGTGCGCAGTGTAAAGTTATAAAACGTATTACAAATGAATGTGGTGTTCAAAATGTTTGAAAAAACTCAAGGACTACGGTGGATGTAACCAAGAGAGACAGAAGATAAAGGCTGTGTCCTTCTAATTATTCAATCTAGAGAATGTGCATATATCACAAGGAGCCATGTGTACGTGTGAAATTTGAAATATTGTTTGTTTTATAAAAAACTTTTAGGTAACCCAACTATCCTTCAATAACTAATGGATAAAAAAGTGATACAATATGAGTTACCTAGATATTCCAACATGAATAAATCCTGAAAACATAATGTTGACTAAAACCAGCAAGCTGCAAAAGGATGATACCACTTAGGAAAATTTTTAAACCTGAAAACAATAGTATATAATTTACAAGTGCTTAGATATGAAATAATAATGTAACAGCATGAAAGGAAGGGGATGGAGTGGGAAATGGTTTATCACCATGTCTATGTCATTTTATTTCTTTTGAAAATGTATTCTGACATAAGTAACATTTGTTGAAGTTCGGTGTTGGGTACAAGGATGTTTGCTATGTCTCCTCTGTAACTTTGTATATGTTTTAAAATTTCAAAATTATATTGATAATGAAATCAGGCATTGTGTCTAAGTTCTTTCATTCAATATTGTTTGTGAGATTAGTTGGTATGTTACTGCGTTTTCATTATTCTCATTGCTCTATGGTATCAACATCTATGTATCCATTTTTCTATAGTTGAATATTGAAATGTTTTTATATC